AATGCTCAGGAGGAAGAGTACCACCAGCTGGGCGGGTAGGTAGGTGTCTTGCTCGGCTGTGGCTTGGGGGGCACTTTTTTCGGTGCCATTGTAAGTTCGAACAGTGACTAAGTGAACTGTTGTCAGTCGAGGACTACCGTACTTTATCACTTTTTTCCTTTTGGGGGTAGGGTCATCATGTTTTTGACATCTTGCTAGTGTGGTACTCGGATGTTGCCATATCCTAAAAGTGGTACAATGGGTGAAAAGGTTGAAAAGCCCTGACATATAGCTTTCCCTCCACCTATGGCAGCCGGTCATCCCTTGAGCAGAGGTTTTTATGACTCAGGAACCATTCATTCTTTTCCAGAGCTTATTTGAACTCTATTCCTGCTGTGCTGTCTAGGGGTTTTGAATTTTTTGCTTATGCCCTTGTGGTTACTGGAGCCGCTAACTGCTTAGAAGACACAAGAGGATTCACCACCTCCACCTCCACTATTATATTGTGGCAGCCTTGATAAGGCGTCGGCTAGGAAATTCTTTCCCCCAGGCAGATATTTGATAGTGAAGTTAAATTGGTGGAAGTGTTGGGACCACCTTGCCTGTTTTGGGGACAGTTTTCTTGGCGTTTTTAAAGCTTCCAGGTTTTTGTGATCAGTCCATACCTGGAAAGGGATTTTATTTCCTTCCAGGAAATGCCTCCATGTGAGGAGGGCCCAGTGTATGGCATAGGTTTCCTTTTCCCACACTGCCCACCTCTGTTCAGTTTCTGTGAGTTTTCTCAATGTGTAGGCACAAGGTTGTAACTGGCCCTCTTGGTTTTCTTGGAGCAGTACTGTGCCTACTGCTACGTCACTACTGTCTGCCTGAATGACAAAAGGTTTTTCTGTGTCTGGGTGCTTTAGGACTGGCTCGGCTGAGAAAAGTCTCTTTAGTTTCTCAAGCACGGCTTGACACTCCATAGTCCATTTTAGCGGCTGACTAGGTTTTGGCTTGCCTTCCCCTTTGATTTTAGTAAATTGGTAATGGGGAGCGCTAGTTGTGCAAAAGAGGGAATGAACTGTCGGTAGAAGTTAGCAAACCTCAGGAAACTTTGCAACTGCCTCCTTGTGCGTGGTGGTGCCCATTCTAGCACTGCCCAGACCTTTTCTCGGTCCATCTCTACCCATTATGGGATATGCGATACGCCAAATAGTCAATTTTTTCCTTATGGAACTCACACTTTGATAGTTTGGCCTAAAGCCAGGTGGCCCACAGTTTATTTAGAACTACTCTGACTGGTTTGAGATGCTCTTCTTTCGTTTTGGTGAAAATGAAGATGTCAGCCAAATACACGAGAACCCCCTTGTAAAGGTGTTCCTGAAGGACCTCATTTATCAATTGCATGAACGCTGCTGATGCTTCCTGCAATCCAAACAGGAGCACCCTGAATTGGAAACACCCCAGTGGGCAGTTAAACGCTGTCTTCCATTTGTCTCCTTCCTTGATCCTAACCCAGTAATATGCCTCCCATTTGTCTTAATTCCCCTTTGCTAGGTGGACCAACATGTCCTTCATTAGCGGCAAGGGATAGATATTGTTTTCGCACACCATGTTCAAAGATCTATAGTCCACTCAGAGGCAAAGAGATCCGTTTTTCTTTTCGTGGAACAGCACCGGGGCCACAGTTTTTGGTCTTGCCGGCTGTATAAAACCTTGCGCTAAATTTCTGTAACTCTTCCAGCTCCTGGGGAGTCATTGAATACATTTTGGGCTTAGGCAATTTGGCTCTTGGTAGAATCTCAATGGCATAGTCAGTGGGCCAATGGGGGGGGTACTCGTCAGACCGCTCTTCGCTGAACATCTAAGCTAGATCCCGGTATTCCTTGGGTACGGTTTCCAACCCCCAATCTTTTGCAGTTGCTACCAGCTCTGGAGCTCCTTTTCTCTTTGTTTTGCAGGTCTCCCCCATACAGTGCGCCTCTCTTTTGGAAACCACAATTCTCCAGTCCTCCAATCCACCCTTGAGTTCCACTTCCTCAACCATGTCATCCCCGATATTAGGGCCCACTCCATGCCAGGGGTCACTATAAAAGTCAAAGTCTTCTGTATGATCCCCCATTGTGAGCTGGACTGGCTGCGTAGTGAGGGTGGCTGGGACACCTCCTGAGATGGACTCATCTAACTAGCCAAATGAAATTGGCTTCATCAGTCTCCTCACCGGAATCCCTAGACTTCCCACTAAGATTGGGCTTATTAAGCAATGGTGCAACACGAGTCCTACAGGGCCTTCAGAGTTACTTTTCTCGGCATCTCTGGACTTAACAGTTCTATTGTTCTGGTGAGGGGCGCAATGGGTCCATTTACCAAGGGTTTGTCCTTAGAGTCACTGTCAGGACAGTCGGGTCACTTTCCTGTCGGAGCTGGAGTTCCTTCCCCCGGGATTCTGGGGAATTGGACCTCAACCACCTCAGCACTTTTCATGGCAGTCCCCCTGGGTCGCTGAGGAATCTTCCCAGGCTTGCCTCCACCAGACCGGTCAGGCGTGCATATGGGAGTCTTCAAGCGGCATTCTGCAGCCCGGTATCCATTGAACATGGTGCTGCGATGGGGCGTTTTGTTGCCTCTTTTTTTCCCTCTGGGGGGAGCGTCTCCAGGTTTGTCCCAGGTGTTGCTGTCTTCAGGCTTGGTTGATCGGCCAGGATACACCAGTCATGCAGGTGATCCAGATCTCCCCATGCGATGCATGCATGGTACAGATCATCGTTCAGCCTGTCTTTGAAATGGCCCACTAAGACTTCTTCCGATCAATTGAGGCGGCATGCCTCCATATACTCGGCCACTGGGCGATGACCTTGCCTCACCATTTTGAAGCGTTCTCTGGCTTTCTGGTCAGCTAAGGGGTCCTCGAACCTCCGCTTCAGGGCAGCCATGAATTGATTGAAGTTTTGGAGCTCAGGGGCATCAGTGTTATGCAGGGTCACCATCCACCGGGCAGCTGCTCCCTCCAGGGCCATGGTTACCACCCTGACCCGTCTGATGTCGCTGGGGATATCTCGCCCGTATTACTCCATGTAACTCAGGACATAGGGTAGGAAAAATCCCATCATATTTTAATCCCAAGTTTGGGACCTTCTGGTCGGGCAGGTGGGTCCTCCTTCGTCTTGCTCGGTGCCTGTCTCCCCCAGCTGGGGTGACCCATGCTAGGGTGGCTGATGTAGTCATTGCTTCCGTAGTTTCCAAGGCACTGGTAGAGGGACCAATGTTTGCCAACTCACCCTCCCAGCATTCCTCCTCTACCAGTCTCGGCACCACTGAGTCCCGGCAGGGGTCTTCTTCCTCCTTAAGGATCTTGAAAGCTTCAACCATCAGGCTGATGGCTTGTTTAAGGAAGCAATCAAACCCGGTTGGTCTCTCATTGTCCTCTTTGCTGAGGTTGAGTGACCTCTCAATCTCTCGCTTCCATCCCGGTGGATGGCTGCCTTGGGGGGATCACCTTTCTGGCTTTCACTTCCCATTCTTCCTTCTTCCCCACGCTAATCGACCATCTTGGCTTTTCCCAACTTTCTCTGGTCATGGCTTCATCAGATGAGCTGGAGCTGCCACTCAGGCCAACCTTGGGGGGAGCTTCCCCGCACAGGTTGCTTTCTCCACCGTGGTTCGACATCCGTGGTTCGACATCCTTTGCACAGTCCCCACAATAGGGGTTTTCCCTCCGGGTTGACTATTTTCAGATTCTGTCTAATGTAAGAACCTGCCTCAATTAAGCCTTCCAAGGAAGCAGAACTCTTGAAATAGGCATCATCTCAAAGGGAACTTTTATTGGAAGGTTATGACAGCAGTAGTAGAAGGCAGGATCTAAGGGTTTCCCACACAAATCAATAAGTCAAAAGAGTCAATGAAAACTCCACCAACCGGCCATCCAGACGGCTCAAATTGGCCAATCCACAGGTGTGAAAATGTGGGCATGGAGTGATAAGGCTCCGCTTCCAAGGCTGTTAAGTCTCCGCGTCTCTTCTTCCATGCCCAAAGATAAGGCAGATGGCCGGAGGCACATTCCATTCTCACCCTGCGAAAGAAACATCAAAGAGGATAGAGCAAGGAACAATGCAAAGGAAATACACTGTAGCAACCCCAAGCTCCCACTTTTGTAAGAGAAATGGCAGAACCCGAAAAGAACAGGAATCCCTATGCCCATAGACAGACATGGTTCTGACATATCCATTCCCCAATAAAACAGAAAAACTCAGAGGCCCTCTAGATAGTTTGCATTTTATATATTGCATAGTTCATATATTGAATTGAACTGGAGTATATTACCTGCTCTTTAAAAAGGCAAAGAGATGCAGGGAGATAGGGAAGTTACATGATGACCAATGAACTTTTCTGAACAAATTATTAGAACATTAATTTAAAAAATTACTAAAAAAATTAAACACATAGAAGAAAAAGAATTGCGGAAGGAAAATTGGGTTTGATCTTGTAATGTGAATCCTGCTTCACCAACCTTCTGGAGGATGAGGATGATGATGGTGATGATGATGATTAGGAACCTAGAGGGGGATGACCATTACATACCTTTCAACAACACTTTGATAAAGTTTCTTTTCAAAGGCATTTGAAGAAGTTTAGCAGTTATGGGGTATTTAACAAATTAGATTGCTATTATCTGTAACTAACTAGGAAAATGAGTTGTAGTAAGATCAATAATGATGTTGACTCATAGCTGTAAAAAAGGCAAATTCCATGCTAAGGATAATTAGGAAAGAGACTGAAAAGAATGTAGATTTTATAAAAGCACTGAGATGTACATCATTCCAAAGCACCAAGATATAGATCAGAATTGGACTTTTATCTTGAATAAAACTATTTTAGATGTTTCTCTTGGCCTTGATTCGTAACAGGTCCTTACTTGTGATTTCAGGATTTATCAGGCTCTGATATATGCCTCATTATACAGTTTAAAAATTCCTAATAGTTTATTATATTTAATGTAGCATAAGTAAATTCAAGTTTTTGTAATGTTGATTATATTGATACAGAAAGAAGAGCTAGAGACTCATACTAAAAGAGATATGGAAGAAAGAGCAATAAACATTGAAATTCCTGAAATCTTGAAAAAGAAACTTGAAGAGGATTGTTACTATATTAACAGGCGAAAACGGGTATGGAACATTTTATGCAAATTAAAATAATTGGATATAGTAATACTAAACACTTTATATGCAGAAATTAACATTATTTGACAGTGCAGTCACATGTACAATTTGCCAGATATAAGACAGATTAAATTCAATAGGATTTGATACCAGGTGACTATATATAAATGTACAATATATGCAAGCAAATATGGAAACTAGTGAAAAGGTGTTCTACAGTACAATTTAATAGCAATTTGTTTTACTAGACTTTGAAGGAAGTAGATTAACTGTAAGTTTAAATCTTCAGGATTCTCTGTTTTGATTGCTTTTTCTATTCCACAGGTAATCTGAGAGTACATTAGCCTTGTGGTGGCATAGTGGTAGCATTGGTACATTAAAATTCTTGGATGTTGTCAAGGAAAAATAGATTTATTGTCATGGTTCCGACAGAGACAAATAAAGCAGAACTCCAAGGCTTGCAAGTTCCTCAAAGAACATGTTTATTGATACAAAGTATCAGCACGTGAAAAGTGAAACCAAGTCTGAATAGACATGTAACAATCCCCAATACAAAGTTATTTGTAAAGCTATGCAAGCTACTAAGTTCCCCAATGCATCTTCTTGGCAGGCTTTTCACGAAACGCCCAGCCTGCAGCCCCGGGAGCAGCCGATGACTTTGGTTCCAATGGGAGAAAATCTGTTTAGTCTAGCGAAGCACTTGGTAAACCCCCTCCTTTCGTGCTATGTGTCAACCGAAAATGAGTAGGGAAAATGGCTGCAGCTATGCTCATTTTCAAAGTTGACATTTATCTTATTAAATACATTAAAATAATTTCTTATTTATCTGTATTTAATTCATTTCTTTATCAATCATATGGTATTAACAAAGGTGAAACTTCATACTCATGCCTTAAATTAGGCTACTAAACTAAAAAAAAATGATCTAATACTTATATGAGAGATGTGTAAACTCAGTTTCCTTAGTGAAAATAGAAAGGCAGCTTGTTTCTTAATTCTAAATGTATGAACTCATCCTTTTATTTTTATTCTTATTGCAGCTTTTCTGATCTTTGAGATTTAATGATAGAAAACCTAAAACTGGCCCTTCTGGCCTGGCCAAAGTCCATCTTAATTTAGCATTTTGTTTATGGTTTCTACAGGCAATCAGTAATGGACTTACCAATTGCCTGTAGGCAGCTCACAAACAGGAAATTCTTCTCTTGCTGTGGTTTTCCAGCAACTGATATTTGAAGCACTTCTTACCCTGGAAATAGGACTAAGAGTAATAACCATTGATATATTTGTTATCTATGAGTTTGTTCAATTTACCTTTAAAGTCTTAGCTTTAAAGAACAAGAAATTGTGGGAATGCTAGAATCAAGTCAGTTCCATGTTTATTTCAAAAAGGCAATTCAAGGGCAACTATTGAGCGAGATAAGAAAAACTGCTCCAGTGAGACTCAGCCATAATTTCTTTTCTTCCATTCAATTGTATCCAATTCTCAGAGACTGCTTGGACAAGTATATGAAGCTTCAAAATTGCTATTATTGTTTTCAGAATTCTGTATTTATTCCACCCTGGCTTTAAGTATAACCTATTGACATCTCTGTTGTTCTTGATTCCTTGGTTTTGCCAGCTACGTGAGGCTTGACAAGGAATGAGAAAAATAAAATTAGTGGGATGGAAAATATGCTGTACTCCTATGATACTTATTTGTTCTTGTTAGTCCAGGTTGTAGGCTAGTGAGTGGAGTTACAAGAGAGTGAAGAATAGGCTTGACTGCAAGGTGTGTGAGGGGGTGCCCAACTTTTTTTTTAAAAAAATCCATTTTGCCTGTATAAGTACCATGCTTATTTGAAATATGAACAGAAAATGTGTAAAATATTTTTTTTTTAATTTAGCTTGTGAAACTGCCATGTCAGACAAATCTAATAACCATCTTGGAATCATACGTAAAGCATTTTGCCATTAATGCAGCTTTTTCAGCCAATGAGAGATCCCGACACCATCAAATGACTTCACATTCCAATCTGAATCTTCATTATATCCCACCAGAAAAGAAGTAAGCAAACACTATTTGATTTTGTGTCTACGTTAGAGTTTAAAATGAAAGGTTTAACTTCAAGTTCAACTAATTAGATATTAGCAAGCTAAATAAATTTATTTATTTATTTCTAAATAAATATTTATTTATAAATAAATTTATTTCCTATACTTTTGCATTAACTTCACTTTATATAAAGGAACAATAATGGTGTTCTTTTAAATAAGTCATATAGCCACTTAATAAGGCAAATATATCCATATTTTAAGTTTTTTCCAGCTACACCATTTGCCTAATTCTCAACATTCTCATAACACTGTAGTACAACTTTCTTTTCATCAACTTTTTATTGACATAACATGCATTTCTTATGTTCCACTCTTTAGCATATCACTATCATTCTTATACAGATCTCTAAAATACTCTTCATTGGAGGTAATAGTCTTCGACTTATGACTCTAATGGACTCTGCAATTATAATCATAATAGTTATGTCATCGTAAAGTGGGTCATCCGTGTGACTGACCCAATTTTACAACATTCTTTGTAGCGATCATTAAGTGAATCCATTATCATTAAGCAAATATGCAGTTATTAAGTGAACCCATTATTCCCTATGGGGCGTTTTTTTGCCAAAATCAGGATGTAGAGGCCAATTTTTGACAAATATGTCATAAATTGCATTCACATGGCTGCAAGATGCTGCAAACAGGTATGAATGCAGATCAGTTGCTGAGCACCCAAAATGTGGTTAAATGACTTGGGGAGTAGGTCAGCCATTACAACTTCAGAATTGGGTCATAAGTACCTTATGGCAGAAGTCCCCAACCTTTTGGGCACCAGGGACCGGTTCCGTGGACAGAGTTTTTTCCACAGACTGGTGGGGACGTGGTTTCATGTACTGTCTGCATCCCGCAGATGGGGCTTTGCTTGTTTGTGCAGACTGGTTTCTGGCATGCTGCAGCCTGGTGCCGGTCCATGGACCGGGGGTTGGGGACCCCTGCCTTATGGGGCAGTTCATCACAATTTCAAAAGGTTGCTAAGCAACTGGATGGAAGTCAAGGAGTACATGTATTCCTTCTTTTCAGTTCTAGCCCAAATTATTCCATCACTTTTGAGTTCCATCCTAGGGAAGGTTCCTTTCTTAGCCTCTTTCATCCAAAAAAGCAGGTTATATAGTACTCAGATAAACTAACACATAGATTGTGGGGAGCAACTTCCAATTCTTTATTGTAGAAAAAACACATAGAAAATAAATTATCACTCCTCTGTAGCTATCTAGGCATTATTTTTGGCTTGGTTCTAATTGAGTGATTCTGACCCCAAATAGATGCTTGAGCTAATAGTAATACCAAAAACAGTATGAGACAGTATAAGAGTAGGAAGGGCAGCATGCAAGTTTGATAAATAAATAATACTGATTGTTATGACTTAGTTCTTCAAAATAAATGAAATATTAACATAAACTTTGTTATATGAAGTACTTATTTCTTTTGTAATCTTATTTTTCTAGTGTTGAATTATGTAAAGAAATGGTGGATGGCCTAAGAATAACCTTTGATTTCACTCTTCCTCTTATTCTACTGTATCCTTATGAGCAAGCACAGTTTAAAAAGGTGACATCCTCCAAATTTTTTCTACCAATCAAAGAGAGTGTAGCAAATTCTAACAGGTGGGTTTGTGTTTTTCTTTTTGCATTCCTTTCGAGAAATAGAATGGTTTTAATGACATTATTTTAAAAAACCTATAGTCGTAAAACTATATTTTTTACTGGCAGCCAGTAAGCTGAAAGAAGACTTTTCAATAATGATGAAAGTTACACAGTTACTATTTAAAGTGTTCTTTATTGGCCTTGTGTATTGGCCCAACATCCTAGTTCACCTTTTTTTTATTTGATCAGAAATCAAGAAGAGCTTTCTCCAAGCCCACCTCTTCTGAATCCATCAACTCCACAATCCACAGATAGTCAGCCTGCAACAGGAGAACCTGCAACACCAAAACGCAGAAAAACAGAACCTGAAATCTTGCAGTCTCTAAGGCGTTCCACACGTCACACGTCCAATTGTGATAGGCTGTCAGAAAGCAGTGCTTCCCCACAGCCAAAAAGGCGGAATACTGAGGCTCCTGCTTCAATGCCAAAATTGTTTTTGCATCTTGAAAAAAGTGAGTTCTGTGTTAAGATAAATAACTGATTATGTAAAAAGAAACAATGATGTAAAAAGTATTTTCAGTTCATGAGTTGTCTTTTAACAAACTCAATGAAGCTTTAGTATGATAAATTTGAGTGCTAATAATGAACATTTTTCAAAGGCATTGCATATGTACTTTAAGCTTTTATAATAAACCCTATATTACCAACGTCGCTATTTTAATAGATTTTGAAAGCTTGTGCTTCAGGGTGGGTCATACTTAGTATGCTATAGCCAATCCATATTGGATTTCTCATGGGGATGTCTCCTGATTTGATTTTTGTTGTAATAACAGCAGACAATTGCAGTTGATAAAAAGCATTCTTGCAGTACGATAACATGCATTTCAAGTGTCTTCACTTGAATATGGTGATGGTTCTAGCAACAAATAATGGCATTTGAGGAGGATGACTCAGAAATATAAGCAGATCAATATTTTGAATGACTAGATATTAGAAACTTTTCTTAAATTTTAGCAATAGGCAAATGACTTTGAACATCAGTTCTGGTCTGATTGTTTTATAGAAACAATTGAAACAACTTGCTTTATGCTAATAACTTTGCAAAATCCATGATCGCTTTGTTTTTAGCAAAATAATTTGTCTGATTTAGCCACTAGCAATGTTTTGATTTAGATATAAAGCCAGTTAGGTGACTTGAGCTAGTCACTTCTCTCAGCCCTAGAAATGAAATGGCAAACCACTTCTGAAAATCTTGCCAAGGAGTTGCCAGGAATCCAAAAGTGATTCAAAGATACACACACTCAGAGCAAAGAATTATTAGCTCCTTGATATTAGTGTGTGAGGAATTGTAATCCTGGAGGATTAAACATATTAGAAATTATACATATACATATACATACATACATACATAAATACATACATACATATATATGTAGGTCTTTGGTTATTTGGGTTTTCTCCTGCGTCAAATTGGAAGTGTCTTGGTGACGTATTGGCGAAGTCTCATTCGTCATCTTCAGGCTGGTGTTCAAAGCACGAAGCTGAAAACACCAGCCTGAAGATGACGAATGGGACTTCGTCGAAACGTTGCCAAGACACTTCCAATTTTACGCGGGAGAAAACCCGAACAACCAAAGACCTATATACAATATCAGACATATATATAATATATATATATATATATATATATATATATATATAATATTAATCAAAGATACTAATGTGGTATCACATGCATTTAGACTTATTGAAATTTTATAAAAATAAGATTGCCTATGTCAGTGGAGAGAGCCTGTTTGGGGCAGTGGTTAAAGCACAAGGCTAGAAACAGGAGACTGAGTTATAGTTCCACCTTGGGCACAAAGCCAGCTAAGTGATCTTGAGCCAGACATAACTTTCAGCTAGGAAAAAGGCAAAGGCAAACCAGTTCTGAAAATCTTGCTAAGAAAACTGCGAGGAGGATTCCAAGCAGTTTCTAGAAGTCATAAATTGTTTTAAAGCACCCATCCACAAAAAGATCAAAGGAATTTCTTAATAACTGTAGGAAATCTCTCATGACTGAATAAGAGTTCTTGTCCTTATATATCCATGCATAAAATAATGTCCTACTCTTTTCTTGAAGAAACTCCTGTCCACAGTGGGTCATCATCTCCTATTACATTGACCCCTAGCAAAGAGGGTAGTGCAGTATTTGCTGGATTTGAAGGCAGAAGAAATAATGAATTGAATGAGGTAAGCTTTTTTGTTTAAGACTTGATTCAAGACTGTGAATCAAGATGCTTTTGAACTAGGAACCTATATTTCTCCAGGTATTATTGAAATGCAGCTTGCATCATTTTAGCTTACTGTTTAATATGTACTAACCTCTTCCTTTCTAAGTATGTTGAATTACAAAATTTATATCTTATAGTTTTTTAATTAATTATGTACATAATTCTGTAAATTTCATTTTTAAATAAATACAAACAGTTTTATTTAATAAATAAACTTTTAAAAACAGTTTTGGAAATTGTTCTGATGTAGAAAGAAGAAAGTTGTACAAATTAGAGTTTTCTATTTTATATATTTTAAACTACTAAGATAAAGATTTTGACAATATTTAGTAGAATCCTGTCATGATTTTAAATTAGATTTAGATCAAGACAAAGTTTATTCTAATTTTATTTTTAGGTGTTGTCATGGAAACTCATGCCAGAAAGCTATCCTCCAGGCAATCAGCCGCCACCACCTTCTTACATTTATGGATCTCAACATTTGCTGCGCATGTTTGGTAACGTATATGAACTTCTACAATGGTTTTTGTTACAACTTTAATTTATGCATTATATTTTTAATTGGAAATTAATTCTGCATTCCTGATAGAATTTAGTTCACTCAGATACAAATATGCTACAGTACTTGTAAATAATCTGATCTATTCAGAGATATAAATCTCCCTTAAGAGGATTTTTTTAAAAAAAAGAAAATCAGAACTATATTTCAATCTAACTCCCTTTCAATTTTTATAACAATTTTTATAAAACATGGGTGATCTCAGGCCACTTATTAACTCTCAACCCAAATACTTTAAGACCTGATTTGGAGGGGGGGGGGATAATTGCATGAATGCTTGAAATAAAGATGGAATATAAAAAGGTGGAAGTAACAAATAAGGGGACGTATCAATGGCAAATTGCTTTCATTTGAAAGAAAAACTCTCAAATGGGAAAGGGTTGACATTTTTTCCCTTTTTGTTTTTACAGTAAAGCTTCCAGAGATACTTGGGAAGATGAGCTTTTCTGACAAAAATCTAAAAGCTTTAGTAAAGCATTTTGAGTTGTTCCTAAGGTAACTTATGGATAACAGCAAATTTAGAAGCTAAATATTCAAGAGCAGCTAGTAACTTGCAGAACAAACATTTTAGTTATAGGAGAGTTATTTGTTAGATAGCTAATTCATTGTATAGGAGAAAAGTAGAAGATTCTAATCAAGAAGTTTTAGCTTCCCTAATAATACTTTCCTTGTAACATAGGTATTCCTCATTTAGCATGGCACGTGGTTATTAAGTGAAACAGTGCTTAAGGGAAAACTCACATGATGGAAACTGTGCTACAGTCCTTTGCTTTACAATGTCATAAAAATATGATCCCAAAGAGTCAAGTGAACCCAAATGGCAGGGAAAGTTTCCAGAACTAGATTCATGAAGAAGCTGAATAAAAGGATAAAATCTTATAGCTCTTTTCTCCATTTCCATATCTTTTGGAATGCTCACTTGGTAGTAGGATAATTATCAAGAAGAGAATTAATGTTTGCATTTACATTCATTGGAGAGGAAGACATTACAAGAGATTAAGCAGACACACAGTGGGGAATATATATCTAGAGTACGGGTGTCAAATTCGCCATGTCACATGACACTTTGCGACGTATCGTGACTTTTTTTGCATTGCTGGAGCTAGGGTGGGCACGGCCTCCACATGATGCAACCATCCGAATGATGGCCTGGCAGTTTGACACTACTGATCTAGAGGAATATGTTAGGCCAAAGCTGCTTAGTTGGTAAACAAAAGCCTTCCACATGAAACCGATTAAGGCCTGATAATTTTAGACAGTAATATGTCAGCCCTCCTAGGTAAACCAGACAGGAAACAACTAGATGAGCTAACTCCACTTTATTTTATTATAAGAGTACATTAACAGAATCCTGCAAGATTCAAAGTACAAATCGCCCACACACACACACACACACACACATATACTATTTATAGCCTGGTCAATTAGAGTGGGTCCTTCCTAAGTTTCTTTGCCTGACCATTAAGCTCCTTGTCATTTTGTAGGTAGCCTTCCTGTCCTCCCTCAAGGTCATTCTCACGTTACAAATTAGCACTTTTTTAGCAGCATGTTGTGCTGCAGAGAAAAGCAGCTCAGGAAGAGATAGCTTGTTTAGGCAATTTCTCCACTGCAAGCAGAGAAAAAGAAAAAAAAAGGGTCAGGCACAAGATAACATAAACTAACTGATTGTAATGATGAACACACATGATTGAGAGAGAGAGCCTGTAAAGGTAAATATGGGCATTGGTCACAAAATTACTTTTTTATCGTTGTTATAACTGTGAACAGTTGCTAATCAAAGTAGTCGCTAAACAAAGACTACTTGTGTATAAGAGATTGACAGAAATTATGTGCCAGATATATGATTACAGAGACATTTCAGTGTATGTAGAGCTTGCACATACAGTAGCTTAGAAAGTTAATTGTTTTTCCTGTATTTCTTAAAAGAAATGTGTTCACATGAAAAGAATATGGTTTTGTTCATAATCCAATAATAATCTCCTGCAGGTTCATTGCTGATGTATATTTAGGATCTATTTTTTTCATATGGAACAATATATCTGTAATTCAAAATTAATATATCTTAATTCTGCAGCATGGAATCAGTCCTTCTGACAAATGCTATATGATGCATAATATCTGATTTTTATCAGTTTTCTAATTAAAATATTTAGGAATATTATTTGTAGGAAAAAATATTAAGTAATATAACTTGCAGTAATAGCCTGTGACCACTAATCTGTACTAATGCATAGATAATATAGTTCCAGTCTGGATTACTACAGCAAAAAGCTCTTAATGTATTAGACTAGGAATTTTATTTTAAAATTCATGTGCTGAAAAAAGCATTTAATCATCAAATATAAAATTATAATGCTATTTAATTATTTTAGTTTCAAATGAATTACAGAGATTAGAAAATCTGTTCAAATAATGATCCTACATTTTAACAAAAGCATTTCCAGAAGTATTTCAGTGGATTACTTGCAACTGTTCAAAGTTCAAAAGTAAGTCCCGTTGGATATAATGGGAACCACACCCAATTAACCGTTTATAAGATTAATGGCATGGGGTTCTTTGTACATGGTTAATTTATAGCAGTTTTTCAGAAGCATTTTAAGATAATGCTTAGATAATTTAACAGAACAAATAATCATACATATTTTACTTCTATAGGTTCCTAGCTGAGTATCATGATGACTTCTTTCCAGAGTCAGCTTATGTAGCAGCCTGCGAGGCCTATTATACCACCAAAAATCCACGTGCTATCTACTGAAACTGTGGATGCAGTCAGCTGTACAAACTGGGCATGCTCCATGTCTCCTATTTTATTGCATTACTTCAAGATCAAGAAAAATTGGAAGATATAATTATAATGTCACAAATGGTTGCGACAGTGTTGTTCTTTTGACATAAAGAAAATTTCATTTCAGAGCTATGCTGATGTTGCATTCTAGCACTTGCACTTCGCTACCAGATAAATGAAGCTCTGCATTGACTGTTAATGCATAGAACTGCATACAAATAAAGTAAGAAAAAGGAAGAGATGCATCAAAAGCAGACTTGAGAAGAACTAATTCATCCTGTGTTCCATGTTATTATAGCCTTGCTTCAGATTGACCTCTCATCATTTCTGTTTAAAAAGTAAAGGCAGTTGCATTGTACAGGTTGTTCATATTTGGGATTTTTTTTCTATAGAATCTAAGAAACCACTTCTGTGTTAGCATTCTTTCTGTCTTAAGTGATTATGAGGGATGAACTTGAGGATACCTTCAAGGAAGCACTGTTAATTCTCTGTAGGTCCATTTCATAGTGACCAAATAGCTTTGATTGGAATTAATTAATTGCTTTAGGAGGTTAGGGCTTTTTGTATTTAAGAAGAGGATATACTTCATAATTTTTGGAAGAAAGAATGATGTGATAGTTATTTGGCAAAATTTTGGATCTGGAAATACTTGAGTTTTGTTTTGTTTTAATTCTTTAGTTCTTGCTAGTAAATCAACTAGAATTTATTTCTGGAAGTAACAGAAGAATCAAAATATTCTGTTCATGTTAACAAAGGCTAACTGATTTCTAAACTGGAAGAAGCTGGTAAATATGGAAGAGTCATGCTACCATTCAGTTAGTCCAATCTTACTGCAGCACATCTTAAAAAGTCCCATTAATTTCACTAGGACTATTATGGTCAACTCATGATACATTGCAAATATAATGTATGAGGCAAGCTAACTAGAACAAGTCTCCAACCCCCGGGCCACAGCATACTGCCAGGCTGCGGCCTGTTCGAAACTGGGCTGAGGGAGAGATGGGCAAGTGTGTGCACGCATGAAGCTCCACTTGTGTGAGCGGAGGACACAAGCTCATGTGAAGCTCCATTTACAGGAATGGAGCTTCGTGCAGAAGCACAAATGCTCCCCATTGGGCTGGACCGCCAAGCTGGAAAGGTTGGGATTGTTGAACTAGAATACTTCATATTGTACTCTGCCAATCAGATAATTGAGCCTGATGAAGCAATCCTATTAAGTAATGACATCCTAATTGTCTTATTTTAGAAATTCAGCGCATAAGTTCAAGTAGCTAATAGTTAAGAACAGGAATAATGTGATGATGTGGACTATAACTGCAACCCCACCTAGCAGAGCCAAATGTTGAAAAATCTAGGCACAGAAATTGTAGAAAAAACATTTTGTTGATACTAGTCTCCGACACTCAGGTCATGCTTTGTAATGCCTGCCTTCAGTTTCCAAATTCTTGCTGTTACATAGAAAACATTTTTTTAAAAAACATGCTAATGTAAATGGGTGCAATTATCTTGGTGCCCTTAAATAATATTTAAATAGACACATATTAAAAATGTGTGACCAGCTCTGTAATTTGTAAGCTGTTATTTTGGTGCTAAATTCAGTATAAATATGTTGATAGATTGTATGCATTACTTTTTTGACATTAAGTCCTAAATCTTAAAACGTTGAATTGGAGCCTTGTAGTGAATGAAACATTTATTAAGCTTAGTGTAAAATACTGTTTTAAAGATATAATTAAATATTAATGTTGTATGAATGTAGAATAATAAATAACATTTTTGTCATTCTGTTTTCAGCATGTTTGAATGCTAACTACTGTATTTTATTGCATCCAAATAATGCAGAGTGTCAGGCACAAATAACCAGGAGCATTCACTGAGTTCAAAACACAGTAGAGTTTGTTGTTGATATCTATACAGAAGAATCAAGTTAGCTAACAGTCAAAGCTAAATTGGCACTAGATAAGAGTCAGTGGTATTCATGGGGTGGGGGCAGTGGTGGGATTCAGCCACTGAAAAACTGGTAGCAATTTTTTTGTTGCCCAATTCCAGAATGGACTTCCAGAAGTGGCATCCACACAGAGAACCGGTTGTTCACATATTTGAATCCCACCACTGGGTGGGGGGGGACTGAACTTGGATCTCTTGTGACAAAACAGTGACTCCAAAGTGATGAAACATTTAACTCTGCCTTCCAGCTCAGACTACTTTTCTCCTACACATAGTAATACAAAACCAGCCTATAATAGCTAAATTGACCCAATCCCTTGTGGCTGCTTTAGATGGGATGGGGAAGCACTTTTGTGTACAGGAACACAAAATACTTTATGTGAGTCCAGCATTTGAAAATATTTCATTCCATCTTGCTTATTTGATGTTCAATATATTCATTTTTCTTAGCTGTGTTCTCACTTTCATATGTCCACAGTAAGCACTAGTAAGTAAATTCTCCCACAAAGATATACTACATATTTATTGAGGTCAGATTTATCATAGGCAGAAATGGCTGACTTCTCTTCTGATTAAGCTGTTAAAGTTATATTAAATCATATAGTCATTCAAGCATTTAAACATCACAAAATAAATATGAATATACTGAAGCTTTATAATGATACTTCATTGTTCAGCCTTACTAAAAGAATGATTCTACTTGACATCGTAAGTTAGGTTTTTTTAGAAACTTCTAAATAAATATAATGATATGAGATACAAAAGTGTAAAATAAGGTAGGTACACTATTTTAGTGTACTTGTTTGAAAGGAGTTTCTCAGATACTATTTTGGCATAAAAGTGTTGCATTCCATTTCAAGGCCAAAATGTTTAGGTATTTTATTCTGCAAGATAACTATCACTAGTATAGATAAATGAAGCCTCTGTTTTAGTATGCATGGCTATGGAAGTTGGAAATACTTTTGATTATACTTCAGTAATATTCAGCTGTCATGTAATTATGTTCTCATCCTTTTAGAAATAATCCACTTACCCTGGATGGAAAAATCACAGGGTAGCTAAGAATTATGACAATTGTAGTCAAACCTATCTGACATCTACACTAGCTATCTAGATGTCCTGCATGTTAATAACAATAAAATTTGGGCAAGATCAGTCTGTTCCACATGTTAGGTTTTTTGGAGCATTTATTTAGAATGTGTAAATAGAAAAATGTTCAGTAATAATAAACCGTTACTGATTAGCCCTTGGGCCATATCAGAGTGCAAAGTTCCAGCAACAAATTATTACTAAAGTTTGATAAAAGCAATTTAAAATGAAATTTGATAAAATACAGTTTAAAATGGAATTAGAGTAAAATACGACTTAAAATAAAATTGGAATAAAATACAGTCTAAAATGAAATTAAAATAGAGTACAATAATTTTAAATATAGATAAAATATGATAAAATTATATCTTGGAGTCACCCTTGCAATCTACCCCAATCAGTCCCACATATGCAGATCTCAACTGAACCATTTTGTTTAAATACTGTGCTGCATTAAATGTTATTTTCAAGTTCTGGCCGCACATAAGATAAGTTGTTTTGATATGGGGATCCCAATGAGTCATTCGTTTGATATAAAGACCAAGGTACCTGTCTCTCACCCTCTTGTACAGGCAACAATCATATAGTATGTGAGCCAGGTCTTCTACCTCTGCCGCTCCGCAAATGCAGAGACGCTCCTTGTAAGGTATAGAATGGAATCTCCCATATCTGACCATTGTGTCAAGCTGTTCAAATCTCACTCACGTAAATATCTCCCTAAGGTATTTTGGCAGTTGTAATTTCAAATAGCTGTCTACTTGAAAAGTACGTTTGTATTTACTTAGCCATTTCAAGTTACCCACCTTACTAAGGATCGCTATATCATTTTGTGCTTCTATATCCTTAATTCTTTGGGCAGCTCTTTTTTTGAATTGTTCTCCTGTTACACAAGAGACAGGAAGAACACAGCTTCTTACAAAATTTGTTAGTTTGGTGATCTAGGAGATTTGTGATTGTAATTTTATTTGCTCTAGTAGACATAACTTGAGGAGTCTATCAGTCTCCATTTCATTGACTTTGTACCAGTAGTTATAAGCTCTAATTCTGGATAGAGCATAAATTGTATGAATTCCCAATTCAGCTCTAACTGCTGCAGCAGATGTTCTTGGATCTACACCCAGAATACATTTCAAATGCTGGGACTGTGTTTGTTCTAAGACTGTGGTTGAGTAAAGACCCCAAACTTCTGCTCCATACAAGAGCATAGTGGTAACCTTAGCTTTATATACCTTAATTAATGGGGCTAAGGACCCTGGGTAACTATGGTTCTTTAGTTTAAGCAGTAGATTCAGGCAGGCTTTTACTCTAAATGTACTTCGTTGATGATGGCAAACCCAAGATCCAGTCTTGGGAAAAAGTTACGTCCAGATATATAAAGGTGTTAACTTGTTCAATTGGTTCAAGTTAAACTTTTACATTTTAAAATACATATTTCCTGTTATCAGTGTGTTCCAATTATAACTGCATGATTTATATGCCTTTAAGAGTCTTGAATATATTGGATATGATCCATATGATTGATAAGAATTTGTCATAGACAAATTGACTGTTTCCCTCTCCAGTTGTTCTTGTGGCATTCAAAAGTAAATGTATATAATTGTAAAATGTGTGAATTGTTATCTTGCTCCCTGTACAGAAAATAGATCTTAAGGAAATTGATGCTGTTTGGGGAAGACGACTCCTGGGAATATTGAAACAAAGCAAACGTGAAGAAGCAGCTGTAATGTACTAAGTAATAGGCAAAATAATATCTTAGTAGCTATGATAATTTGAGGGGGGGGGGAATATGTTTCAGGCTTGTTTGCTCAATGGCTAACAGAATTAAAGGAGAGCATCTCCCTCAGCACTTAACACTATGGTTCACTGCAATAGCTGCCAGATAAGATAAATACAATGCAGAAAATAAATCAATTTACTATACCATATAAAGGAATTGGACTAGAAGCATGAAGATGGAGTTCTAGTTGTGTCTTAGACATAGGAGCCAAACAGATGATTTTGCATCAATCATTCTGTCTCAGCCCTAGTATAAAAGCAATCAGAAACTATTTTTTAAAGAAGTTCATGTAATTCCAAGTGTCAAGCATAATTCAAAAACAAAAGCAGAAAATAGCTTATAGAAAGCTTCTTGTACTGTCTCCAAAGTCAAAATTAAAATTGACCATGACAAAACAATACATGAATAACAGCTTTACAATGCTTCCCTACGAAACTGGCTATTTTTTTACTCAAAAACATAGATTTGCTATTGGTCACCACAACTGAAAAATAATCCCGTATAGCATAGTGAACATGTTTAAAACAGGGTTTTTTTCACAGCAGATGGGGAATCTAATGCATACAGCTATATCAACAATCTTTTCCAGGATGATCTTAACTGTACAATGACAGACTAGTAGATGTGTTTTGTAACTTGTTCGTGTGGTGCTGCAAAGTCCCAGATCTTCAAGAATTGGATGCAGAACTTTACAGTCATTAATGGTGTGAATCTTGGTGGATAAATAGATATTTTAATCACAGTTGTTACAAAGCTGAAGCATGAGTTCATTTTTATAATAATGGATTATGTGGGGCAGCAAAAAGTAGATGATTGTTAGAAGAAAAGTACTTTGTTTTATTCAAGACCTGTCACTTGGAAGAACCTACTCTGACTAGCTGATTTTTGTGCAAGGCTTTTCAGTAACTGCTGCATGAGCTCTTCTAAAGATTTCAGTTTGTTAACTGGTACAACTCATGATACCTCTTATTAAAAAGATGTTTGGAATTCCTGTTGGATTATTTATCCACTCCTAACTTCACCTCCTTTGGTCTAATTTTTTTTGGAGATTAACTGAAGTTTCAGTGATCTGGTCTGGCCTCAATTAACAGCAATGATCCAAAATCCTAAGGGAACTATTGTCAGTAAGAGCCAACCTCAATTAATAACTTATTTTTGTGTATTTTATGAGCAACAAAGTCCCCTGCTCAAAGAGTGTGATTTGTGACAATTAAAAGTGATATTTTTCTAACATACTGTATATTTGAAGGTTACTTCACAGATTTAAGCAATTGGTATATGACTTTCTCCTATAAATCAGGAACTTGGCATTTTTAGCTGTGATGGCATCCTACTGGAATAATTCCAGTATCAACAATAACTATAATTACTTAAGCATAAAAGCCATTCACATATCTGAACATTTATGATCATGTGATGTTGAATTGTAATATCTGTTACATCTAGCTAGCATATTCTATAATCTGAGACAATGGAAATGGCAATATAATCTTTTGGTTTTGGTACCAGGAATTTATCAGTGTATGTGCTTCCAGGTTTCAATACTAAGTGCAAAGTAAATTATTTTAATGTATATAAATAAAAATGTAAATGTTCGTTTGTTCAAAATCTTAAATCTCCTAAAGTTCTTCACCAATTGCTTTGAAATTTTGACAATGTTGCATTCAAATATGCACATGTTTTTATATACCTATATTATATAGATGTCACACCTGTGACAGGTAGAAACATGCTTTTTGTGAAAAACAGCACCATCTGTTGGACATAAAAGCAACACACGCTACAATTTCAGACAATCTCTATATCTGCACAGACAATGGAACAACAAAAAATATTGTATACCCACAAGCATTGTGAAATTAAACATATTACAAATGTGCGCTTTCTCTTTTCTTTCTTTTCCATTTAACCAGACTGAGCCATAGCAACACGTGGCCGGGAACAGTTGTAGTTAAATAAAAGCAACATT